TTTGGTATAACAACAAGTAAAACTTCTTCTCAGCCTTGAAAATAACACGCTGGATAATCTGTTCTTTAAAGTCTCAATCAAAACCGATTTTCACAGCGTTTTGCAGTTTCTGTTACGTAAATGGACTTCCGGCTTTCTCTGAACGGAGTGCGGTGATTTGTTTTCGGTCGTTTCCCGGATCTGGAGGCTGTTCGACATGATCTGTGACAGGTCGGCAATCCTGCTGTCCGATCACAGCAGTGGCCGCGGCGAGGTCAGTCGGGTGGCACTGAGCCCCAAATCTGCCGGCGCGCCGCCCACCAGTCGCCGACTGCGCTCCCTGAGATACACCGTGCGCCTCTCAAACTCTGCCCGCGTGCTAGTCACGGTCAGTCAGTGGCCAGGAAACGCCCAAACGGTCACTTGAACATCATGGCTGTTAATGGCGGTCATATCGTATCATTTGTAGACAGATCTTTTCATATAATGAAAAAGAGGCATAGGTCTATCGACCTCCGCCTTCGCCTGAAAATACCACTACCGACGACTGATGCAAGGTTCTGCTGGCTGCTGCGATATAAAATATAGAACCTCCCGTGAATCTACTCCCCTGCAGCTCCCCTCCCCCCCCCCCCCTGCATCTCCTATAGTGTTCGTCCGATCGGACTCGGCGGCAGTTTCCTGGCCGAGTGCGGCCTTCCCAGTCTCGGGCCGGAGCGGCAGGTCCGTCTGATGGCTCCTCGGCGTGCCATCGGCCGCCTGACGGGCGCCGTGCCGATCCCAGCCGCTCAGAATTGCCGACGGCAGCCTCCCCACTCCCCTCCCCACTCCCCCCAGGGAGCCGGGCGACTGTCAGGTGTCAAACTGCCGTGACGAAAATGGAGGCGGCGCTCAGGCTCCTTTTTTGTAAAGCAGTGTGAAGTCACACCAAATAATTGACTTCAAACTTGAGCATAGGATATACATTATTCCATAAAGATAAGCTCGCGATGCGGTTTCTTAGAATCAATCTAACGAGAAAAGAAACAAAGCACAGTCATCACAAAACGGCTATGCATATACATATCCCTTTGATTATGGTTACATGCTAAATAATGTTTCAACATGCACATACAAATTTGCCTTTGATCTTTTTGTTTGTTGAATAGGTATATGATATGATAGATATAAAATGTCACAAATCTTATATTAGAGCAGATTTTTATTTACAAACCGCTCCATTTTCTGACGCGAAGCTCGGCAATGTTTGCCGCGGGTCTGGCGCCGCCTATTCCCCGGACAGCGGCGTCACATATCAATCCTTGTTAGCGGCGCAGCTCGGTCCGACCACCCGTCCTACAGCAGCACCTACAGGAAAACGGAGCGTCTTCTCACAATTGGAGCACTGCAGAGGTCAAGGCCTGAGGAGGAGAGAAGAGTTGGGTGTGAGGAGCAGGGGATGACATGACTTGAACGGCAGCAAGTTTGGAGCAAGAACTGTTTGGGCCGTTTGAGAGCGCATCGGCCAGTTGATATAGTATGCACATTTAGACAGGGCTTTAATCAGCTGGCACTCTAGCATTGTTAGTTTACCCTAGTGCGTCGTCTTTCCTTATCTTATGTGGCCACAATGTGTTCCATTGTTCTGAAATATTGCTCTGGCATAAGCTTTCTGAACACCCTTCACGCTTGTCGTGTTTCCACTTCCAGATGCAGCCAACAGCAAAGCATCTCTCTGATTTACCACCGTTCATTTTATTCTGTCACTGCAAGAAGGGTTGTTAATCTGCATAGAAGATGAGCGCTGTTGTATATCAGCGTTCCAGCGGCCGCCTTGAGCGCGCGAGTATTATCGCAGCTCCTTTGAAACGGGCTGCTGTTCACTCCGCTAGTTTAGTCCAGAGTTTGAATGTTATCAGAAAGATTGTGTGGCTGGCTAGCTGACTAGCAGAACATCCCAACTGAAAATGAACAAACAATCGATATGAGCGTATGCCGTGACATCTGCAAAAGTCTACAGATGATTCCACGGCTTTGCCCTACCGTTACGAATTCAGGATATTGAGATTACAAGATCGGGTGGGGTGGGGGAGGGATACAATTGCGCTATTGATTTCCAATTAGGTATTTTTTGCTGCTAATTTATCTTAAAACTTGATCCATTCAACGATATGCCTAATATTGACGTCACAGTCCTTAAAGCCCCGTGATAGTATTAGTAGCATTTATCATGCTCAAGCCTCAAACTAATCTCAGCTTAAGTGTTGGGCTTAACGCTCGTTGGGTGATAAATTATCCGAAACCAGCCCCATGTGGCTCGTTTAGGGGACACACTGACACCCCGGGAGAGCGCCATGGGTCTGAGAGATGCCCGTGAGGTCATATCGCTCACACTGCCATCTACCGTCGTTCTGGACAAGCTCAGTCAAGTGCGTATGATTCAGTGCCGCTGCCCCTGCACGCGCTGGTCATTGGCCGATGGGGGATGGGGTAAGTACTTACAAAGTGGGCGGTGTCTCTGTCGGAAAGTAGGATCAGTACGGAGAGATAACGTGAGCGGTTCGCGGCAATCAGCTGACCTGTACAGACGGAAGATCAGTGTCCGCTGGACAGAAAACGAACATTCGGTTAAAGATCAGTTAGAGAGGCAAACACGAAAGTCGATTACAAATGAGCGCTCTGTTCGACACTGACTTTATCAACACTCGGGGCAATAACAAGAAAAGCTTGCTATATATTGTGCGAGCGAATTGCAACCAAACAGCCACAGAAATTTGCTAGCATTGCCGTCTACACTTTATCACACCATCAACCGTAGGTTAGGTGTGTATATCACACCTAACCCTGCGTTGCGATGGTGAACGAGTGCACACATTGTCCTTAATTACAAGGTTTCCCATTAAAAAGAGTCAACAAAAGGCACGACACTGCTTCTGAACGAAATAACTCACATAGGTCACTACGAGCCCGCGTTTCGTTTTGTAAATGTTTTTTGGTTTTCATAGGAGAAAAGTTGTATTTAATGTTGAAAGAGTAACTATATATTAGTAATTATATGCAAAGATCAGAGTATTTCTTTTTTTGTCACATAACATGCTACACAAAAAGCCAATAACAATGTTAGAGAAAAGGTCACTTTATAAGAACAGTGTTAACTACCAGCAAAATGCCTTTTGGGCGAAGAAGGAGCGAGCGACAGAATGAGCCCTGCGCGTGAAGAAGTGCGAGAGGGTACTTCCAACTGACTTGTGCACGGCACCCTTCTAACCGGTCCATAGCATTGTGCCAACTTTGAGCGCAATCGGCCAAGCCGTTCTTAAGATCTGGAAACGTCACCCTGCACGTGCGCACGTGCAAATCAGATCCAATCGAACTTTTGCACTGCACCCTTCTAACCGGTTCCCAATCGTGTACCAAATTTGAGCGCAATCGGCCCAGCCGTTTTCGAGATCTGGAAGGGCCCCTGCACGTGCGCACGTGCAGCAGCACACTGACCGTTACACAAAGGAATGCATTGCAGTAGCGGCGGAACACCTTCGGGGGCACCGCTGACTTTTGGTCCCATTCTTCCCATGCAACGCCCATAGGGCTAATGTTAAAATGTCAAAATCAAAGCGGGGTACGGTGCCCCGGTGCCCTCCCCGTTCCGCTGCCTATGATGCATTGCCTTATATGTGCCTGCCTGCATACCAAGTTTCAACGGAATTGCCCCGAAAGTTCCCTAGTTATTGCGATGGGAACAAATTTGACACCTCTCTTTCTTTGTATTTTGCACGTGCAGGGGGTGACCCACATGCATTGTGAGTATGGGATGTCTGGGAGAAGGGATGTAACTACCCTACAAAAATTGCCGCATGCCAATTGACCAAGCATGGTTGCTGAGATATAGGCCTCTCAAAATCGTCAATTCTGCAAACAGCTTGAACAGTGAACACTGAACACCCTTGACTTTTCACGGGGCACGTGCTACGACGGTCACCCAGTTGCCTGAAGAGTAGTCAATTACGGAGAAGAAGGCATGTCCATGCCTTCCTTATTGTTGGGTAGCTCCAGAGCTACCCAACAATAAAGACCGCAGGTCAATCGGTTTCGTGGTTGCTGAGATATAAGCCTCTCGAAAGCGTTTCAGGCCGGGCCGGGCCGGGCCGCTCACATTTTTCCATTATATTGAAAAAGACTCGCTTCGCGCTTCGCGCTCGCTCGTAAATATCTGGTTAATCATCAGCTGACGTAGATAGTTTGATAAAGATTCTAAGCAATATTCACTCTTTTCTTCTAAAGTAAATAATCGCCCATGAAACCAATTTGGCTTCTTAGTTAGAGCATAGCGTAAAGCACCTCAGTTTTCGTATTGGAGACGAGCAGACCCAAATCCCTCGACAGAGGCTGCAACTGAGGACGGTCGAAGGACACCCAGGTCTAACGGGTCGACGAAGGTAAAACTGGAGGAAATTACGGCGTGCAGCACCAGAGTTTATTATGGCACTTACCTTGAAAGAGTTATTGGTTGCTCCTTCAAACTCCTCTTGTCTATTTTATTGCGCTACGAAATGACTTGAATCGGATAACATCAATCTCGAGAGGACCCATAAATGTTGCGTTCATCCCATTTGTTTGATTTCCTAAAGCCCTTCAATTGATATGCGTATTGTATGTGCTTATTTCAATAAATCCAGCTGACATTCACGTCTTCCAAAGCATTGATGCCGCCAAAATAGAAAGATTATAATTTTGTGGTAAAAAAGAACATATAAATCGCTGAGCCTTACTGATTACTGAGCATGAAAAAATCAAAAACCAATTCTAAATATACATACGCTCCAAGTCAGAGAAAATCACCTCGAACACAATTCAGCCGGTCACCGGTCGGAGATCAGTGCACCAATTAGTGGTGTCGCGTGGCTGGCCGGTGGTCCGCGGCGCGCGGCAGCCTTTGGTCGATGCCGACATGTCGCCCGCGTCGGAACCGACATGTCGCCCCCGTCGGAACCGGCACGGCGCCGGCGGCCATATAAGGGCGGGTCGGCGCCGCTCAGTGGTGCAGTTATCCAGCGGCGGGTCACCTGGAGCCGGGGACGCAGGACGGCACCCGACGGAGCACACACCACGCCCGCAGAAAGGTATGGGTGTGTCGGACACGCCGCGGGGCCAGGCCGCCGCTCAGACACGCTGGGCGAGCTTTCCGGGGGACGGTGCACGTGTTTGACCTTAGGGAAGAGTGTTATGTCGAGTAAGGGTGTTTTGGGTCGATGGAATTAACGTCGGCGTAATAACATAATATTGCGTCGTCGAGCGTAGGTCTTGTGTGATATTTGTATTAGAAAATGCGGAGTTTTAGGTGTTGTCATCGAATAAAATCTACCAAAACGGTAGCAAGCCATTCACTTGCCTTTGACCTGGTGGTTTACATTTTTTAACAAAAATATTATCAGTTGTGTCAATTTAATTTGTCTTTTCAAAATCCGTCGATATATTCAATTGTGTCTTACTTATGTAGTTGTCGCAAACTACACATTTATTCTTCAATATTCATGCCGCATGCATATTAGTTTTAACCTGCTTATTCAGCACGATTATCTATATGCATAAGAAGTCCAATGTACTAATTCAATGTGCCAAAAATATGGGTAGGGGAAAGTGGGGTAAGACGGTCAGGGTAGGTAAGACGGGCACCCCTTCTGCAGACCAAACCAATAGCGCTACGAGCAAGAAAAGTTAGGACCAGAATTGCCTTTCCCACTACACACCACCATTCAAGTCTGGTGAATTTGTGTTCAGTCGATAATCTTTTATTTTGATTTCTTTAAAACACTCATTTCATTGAAAACATCCATAATGTATTGTGCAAGCTTTTGTGTACAGCACTATAGAGTTAAAAACTCGCAATCACTTGTGGTACACTCATATGCCAACAGTGTTCATTTACGGCGGATTTGCTTTGTCTGCATCAAATTGTCCACAGCGAAAAATCGTGCTGAACTTCTGACATTGAGTTTGGGGTAAGACGGGCAACTATGAACCCAATGGGTCTGTAATGGTGAAAATATTTTTGTTGCTGTAGGAAAAAAGAAGCATTTCTAATAAGAATATGTTCGATTCCGATACTCACAGACATGTTAGCAATATTCCTTCGGCACAGTTTATTCTCGAATAATGAATGTGAAAAACGGTTCTACATGGCTTCTGAACTAGGGCCTATATAGGAGCATACGCCTTCTGCACGAATCTCGTATACTGCCATTTCCGAAGCACTTGAGACCAACGAGCGACTGTATAAATGCGGCTAATCTCGGGCATTTGTTGCGAGCTGCGCTGATCGGTGAAAGAAGCTGGCCGTCTTGCCCTACCCATGTGACCGTCTTACCCCATGGGGTGGGGTAAGACGGGTTTTTGCAAGGTTTTGCAAAAATAGCTGCAGTTTATTTGTTGAATCAGGTCTAAGTCTCATCTTCTGGCAAATGAAAGTAAAATGTCTGAAAAAGGTTTTCACCCAGTTTCCCGTTTCTATGATGTTTCTAACCGGCCGAAAAATGGCTCCAAAGTTAAGGTGCCCGTCTTACCCCACTTTCCCCTACCAATCCGACTAATTTATCGTGTTCATGCCCTGTAAATATACACAGGTGTGCATCGGATACTTTTTTCTCATCAGTTGCCAAGTACCTAGCATCAAATGATATCATGAGATAAGAATTACTTATGTAGATCCAACTACAACCAATATACATACGCCTCTTCAGTTGATTGTAGTATTTTTCCCTTTTCGAAACAATTTAACCCATTTACGCCCTTCGTTGCGTTTTCGCAACACAAGCAAGCGTCGACGTGATCAAATCTTGAGAAGTGTGTAATGGCGTCTCACCGATGAGACAAGTTTCAGCGCGTTTAGCATGGTTGTGCGCATGATGCTACGCAGTTACAAGTCTGTGCGGCCGGTAACTTACCGTCCAGAGCTCCCAGAGGGAAGTCGAAGGTCCCGTCAGTGATGACGTCACGAAAACCAAAATAAGTAGATTAAGTGATAAATTATATCGTAATGAATAATGTGTGAACATATTCTGCAGAGTCCCTACAATAGCTAGAATATGCATTTTATTAACAAATTATGCTGCAAATAGGGTTTGTGACTATTTTCAAATATGACTACAGTCGTGTTGCGGTAACGCAACGTTGGGCACATCGGAAAGACAGGGGTGTTGCGAAAACGCAACGAGGGGCAAATTGGCAGTGCAGCGGAAGCATAGGAACATCAAATAGACTTCACTTGTGGTACGCTGTGGGTTCTTTCCTTCTCTCCCCAATCTTCCTCCCTCTCTTCCACGCTTCCCCAACTCTCTCCTTCCCTCCCCCCTCCCCCTCTCTCTCTCTCTCTCTCTCTCTCTCTCTCTCTCTCTCTCTCTCTCTCTCTCTCTCTCTCTCTCTCTCTCTCTCTCTCTCTCTCTCTCTCTCTCTCTCTCTCTCTCTCTCTCTCTCTCGTTTTGTAGTCGTGAGGGACGTGTAGGTATGTAAAGTGCAAGGTGCATTTGCACGTGAATGTTGCGACACGTTTCACATTAACTCATTTAAACAGCTATCAAACACTCATTTCTTTTTCTCTCGCAGATTATCGGGCTGTTCACTAACTGCAATGGGTTTTCGAGCATCTGAAAATCGTATGGTAGGAAAAGGACCTGCATCAAATGGTCGGCGATGCTAACGGAGCTGAGAGATAGCGAGGTACTTTGAAAATTGGATCTACTATGTACTAAATAATGGGGACGTAGTCTGGTATCAGACGACAGATAGGCATTGTCATTCTCTGGATACAATCCGCTGACCCTTACTTTAGAAAAGATAACTCCCAGAGTCGGCAAATGTGGGATATGCCCCCTCGGGGGGGGGGGGCAACAGACCCCTTCGGCAGGGGTGATGAGGGCGTCTGGGAAAATAATAGTTTATTTTTAGAATTCATGGTTTGCACGGATTGATAAGGTGGTTGATGTGAAGCATTGCTTGTTTGTTTACTGAGGGTAGGCCTGTCTAATCAGACCATTTTAGAGCTAGAAGCATTATTGGAATTAGGGAAAACATTGGTCTGAGCGGGCATGGTGAATCGTCGAGGCTGAGCCCATCCATCCAGGCCACCCATGAACCAGCCCCACCCCCCTTCCCAAGCACTTACGGCATCCGGCTACAGACCTGTGCTCCTATGGGAGCTGCTCGAATGCGATATATAGTTACCCGTCCAGCTCGAAACAGGGGTTGAGGCATGGAGGAGAAGGATTCTACTATCCTGGAGATGGAAAGGACGGATTAACGGAACACTTGGAAAGTGTGAACTGCGTCGAATCACTGGTCTGCCCTGGCATTGTCTCGAGAGAGAGGTTACAAGTGAAGGTCGCTTAGAGTGGGACAATGACAATTTTGTATTAGGTGTAAAAGTGATAAAATGGGTCCTGGGAGACACTTTAAGCCGAGTTGTTATGACGCGCTACGCCTTACGCGGGTAATTTGTGAAAGCCGGATAGGTTCTTTTTTTTTGCTAAGAGTAGGCATGACTACCCTGCATTTGAATTTAACTTTACTCCTAGGAGGGTGGTTAACAATGGTATTGCGGATAGGCGCTTAGGCGAGGCACAGGTTTACTCCCAATCCTCGGTTAAATTGTTTTCTGTTAGGGGTTCTCATATGAGAGGGTAATGGGCTAATGGCTCGGCTCTGTCTAGCTTCCAAAAAGAAAGCACCGCCCAGGGTACGTGCCAACCACTAGGTACTTTAAATGGACAATTGTTGTTGATAATGACCGTTTGTTGCCATCTCCCCGTTCGCGAACCCTTAAGTTATGCTTCCTCATTCAGGCTCTTAGGCGGGTAATAAAGCATGAGGGATGTGGGTTCCGCATTCTCCAGCAATATTTGTCAACAGTTGGTGAATTATTACGGAGCGAGCGGAGCGAGCGTAGTCTTTCCTTAGATTAACGGAAATTTCTGAGTATGAGCGGCCGGCCGGCCGGCCGGCCGTGGTCACGCTTTTGCGAGGCTTATATCTCAGCAACCACTTGACCGATTTACACGCGGTAATTTTTGTAGGGTAGCTTAATTCCTTCTACCAAGTATTGGACTATTCCCGATGCATGTGGGTGACCCCTTATGCACGTGCCACGTGCAAAACGAAGAGGTGTCAGTTTTGTAATTGTTGCAATATCTCGGTAACTACTTGGCCGATTGCGCTGAAAGTTGGCATGTAGGTAGGCACCCACTAGGCACTGCATATACATGTGCCAGAGTTGGGGTGCTGCTGCACGTGCGCACGTGCAGGGGTCGTTTCCAGATCTCGGGAACGGCTGGACCGATTGCGCTCAAATTTGGTACACGGTTAGGGACCGGTTAGTAGGGTGCCGTGCACAAGTCAGTTGGGACCCATTTTGCACGTGCGCACGTGCAGGGTGCCGCTTCCAGATCTCGAGAACGGCTGGGCCGATTGTGCCCAAATTTGGCACATCGCTAGAGACCAGTTAGTAGGGTGCCGTGCACAAGTCAGTTGGAGGTACCCCCTCGCAATTTCGCACGTGCAAGGCCCACCCTCTCGCTCGCTCCGTTAGTCGCCCCACAAGGCGTTATACTGGTATGTTAAAACAAACTAGCATATACGGCGGTTTAGTGTACTTTATGTCCGTCTGATGTGCCCGTCGTTGCGTTTTCGCAACGCTGATGGCGCCCGGTGTGCCCTTCGTTGCGATTTCGCAACGCACGTTTTTTACGTTTTTCTCGAAAAACTTTTGCTGCCGGCAAAAATTATTTTCGATTCCATGCAAGGCCCTGGTAGAAGCGTAACATATCTTGATTTCATCAATTTTCATGATGGTCAATATTCCTGGGCATAAATGGGTTAATTGTTGCGGAAGGTAGGTATATAAAAACAAGGTGTGTCAACATTCCTATCGTTTACGTGACAAATCTGATATTTTTCATAAAAGGTAGTCTGGTTTCAAGCATAGTCTTATGCTGCTGCTAAGCTTCGCACCATAGCATGCATTCTTCAGACGCTGTGAACGCCATTTTACCTCAATATTTTACATAATGGCTATCTCGTGGCCGTTTTATGAGAACCAGGCGGGTGCTTTCTATGCTAAGAGATCAAACAATATGCAGGCACATGTTATAAACATCTCTTGACTAGATCTCCTTATCCATGCTTTGGGCTTTGGCCACGACGAAATCTCGGTGGAAACCGGATGGAGATTACGTGCAGCATCATTGCTCCACTTCTGTTTAGAGACGTGTTCTGAGCTCCTAGCTACCACTGAGGCAGTGCTCATTTCATTGAGATCGTTTATTCACAATTGGAAATGAAGTAGCAAATTAAATGTTCACTCGATGTAGTGCTTAGAAACGTGTCGGAAGGCGAGCCGCTTATCGGATAAGCAAAAAAAACTTGGTTAATCATTCCATTGTTTATTAAAATCGTTTGAAATCAGGTTCGCCTTCAGCTCAGTCCTTTGCAGCTTAGCCATTTTCTAAGCCTGACCAGATGCACTTATAGTACCTGGAGATATAACAACGCAAAGCTCTTGCTTTCCTTTTACGCCTTCCGCCATGGTCCTTGATGGATTGCTTTCTCTTGACCTGGACATCTATTTAGCTTGATTGGGTTCCACTTAGGCTGGTACATACAGTGCCCACTGCCCACCTCAGGTAAACCCCGTGTTCTTTAAGTTTCTCAGTGCTTGTGCGAGGATCATATTAAAGCATTTTGATTAATGATTAATGACCTTACCCTCGTAGTTTGAAAAAGTTAGATCAAAACACTTGTTTATACAATAAACAAGTGTTTTGATCTAACTTTTTCAAACTACGAGGGTAAGGTCATTAATCATTAAACCCCGTGTTGTTGAAGACCGGATAGATCATGATTTCCCCCGGGCTCAGTTTGTTGTTCTAAGAGCCAATCGTTGTCCGAATTGGTGTTTGGGTTAAATGTTCTAATATCATGCGTTGCGGAGAATCGTGCTCTCGTCTTCTTGCTACGTGGAAACAATTGCTGGTGTTGTGAATGTCCTCTCTTGCAGTCTTAAGTACTTTGAGATGTGATAGCACACCAATGTGTTGATTTAGGCAGAATGTCTGGCGTACTGCGGTGCAGCATATTTTGTGTACTGCGGCGCAGTATGTCGGGCGTTTACGGCGCAGTATGTCGACCGTCGGGTGTATTACGGCGCAGTATGTCGGGTGTTTTGCGGTGCAGTATCTCGGCCGGGTGCACTGCGGTGCAGTACCTATGCCGAGGTCGTGTGTCGAAGTGTAGCTATCGAATAAGACAGCGAAGCATGCTTCGATAATGAGAACGGAAAGGCGCATTAGGGTGCAATAGTGAGCAACATTCGGCACAGCAGTTGAAGTCACAACCGTTCTATAAAAAGTAAGAAATGCATTGACCAGATTTGTTATATGTGCGTAAGCGCGGGGATTTACCGCATGTTTCCTTCCAAACGCACAGCACGGTTCGCTCTTATTCTGGGGAGTCGACTGAGCATGGCTCTAGCACAATGTGGCATTTCATGGGCGTAGTTGTGTTGTAAATAGATTACTTTCTAATTGATTGCGTTGTGCTCTTTATATGAGACAATAATGAGCACTACGATCTTCCATTTATATCGTTAATCAATGGCCATGACCTTTGCTAGTTGAATCCCAGAAAGAAGATATCAGTACATTGCATTGAATCTTGATGTTTGATCAATTATGTTTGATTAGTTCGTAAACTTTACATTTCATAGAACTTCTCTAACGTTTGCAGCTGTACTCGAATACCACAACTCTCATAGGTATTTATTCTTGGGTCTAGAAGGATGCGGTTTTGGCTGAAAATGGAAACACGATAAGCCATTGAAATTAGCTACGAAATCGATAGCAAAATTCTCGTTTCCCAAAATTTTGCCCCAAGTTCGACAATATTGAATGAACAATGAACATATAAGCTGAAGCTGGCACATCTAAATCCATTCATTCAAGGGAGTGGGATTCCCCACAGTCTGGATGACCTGACCAAACCGACCAAACATTTTTCCATAATTTGTGTCTTTATTGATGACAATCTACACTGCCAAGGGTTATATCTCTAAAACGCTTGATCATTTCGCCTCTTGGCATCAGCATTCCTTTATGCGATTGGTTTTTATCGCCTATGAACATTCATATATGCCCATAGCTGATGTTGATGCTCATTCTAGGAATCTTATGAGCCATGATGCTGATCGTAAATTATCCATTAGTTTTGTTAGCAATACTTTGGTGGGGTCACGACACTAATGGCCTAAACTTTGCATTAAGTTAGAGCTGATGACAGATATAAAGCTTTGGAAGCGTATGTCTACTTTCCATGACGCTCTTAAGACGGTGACTTGTCATTAGATGACAAACTATTGCTATTTTTATCAATGTCGCACACTGAATTGTAAGTTAAGTTATTTGAACATTCCCAAGGATTTGTCTTCTCTCAAAAGCTGCAGGCCAAGATTGGGATGAGTACAACGAGTGAGGATTACGACGGACATTAGTTACATGGCTCGTTAGCCCTGCCCCATCCGACTGAAGCCTCGTCAATCCCTTACCTATTCGGGGCGCAGCAGAACAGGACTATCCATCTCGGCAATTGGAGCGACATAGTCTGCATTGGGCGTCAGTAAATCAGCCTGTCGGATACTGGCCGACCGGGTCAGGCGCTGGGCGCACCGCCGGCGGCACTGACTCGCCCAGACCCGACCCAATTAATGACCCCTGCCCCTCCCGGACCCCCCCCCCCCCCCCCGGAACCGCCGCCGGCTGCCGGCCCGACAGCCGCGGCGGTCCGTCTGATGGGTTCCAACACCGGCCGAGATCAAATTTGCATGTTAGTCCAATCTGCCGGCGGTGTAATGTTGATCGGGATGGCCGGCGCGGCGGCGTCTGACCCTCGACCTGCCCCCCTCTCGACAGAGTAATGGTGCGGCACGTGACTGGGCTGGGAGCAGTGGCCGCGCTGGCCGCGCTCGTCTGCTTCGCACTCTGCTGGGTCTCAGCCTCTGCCGCCAGTCTCCACCTGGACGATGGAGAAAGGTAACAGTTCCTTCTGTAGCCTGCTGCGGGAATCGTTTAAGCTTTAAAGGCAAAGTGAATCTAGTTCGGGTAGCACTGGATCATGATATCGCTCATTATTCGCTTATAGCATCAGCTGAAAGAGCACCAAACACCAGTGAGTGCCGTGAAGCGGCTTACCTACTCTTATTTCGTGTCATTTTTGCTCGCAACGCCATACATTTCTGTTGTGTTTTATCCAGGGTATTATCATTTTCTTTTTTGCAACAAAGTAGACGTCTAGTGGTACGTGATTCACGCATGACGTCACAGAAACCCCTTTCATGTAATATTTTCATAATTTAATACTGATACGCAAGGTTTTGTGGCCACGCCTAGAATAGTGGTATGTAAGCCATATACTTTCCCTTTTGATCTCGGTAGCTCAGTGACGGGCTGCACTCTCGCCACAAGCAGAACGCTCCTGCCAGCAGCAACGTTACATCAGACACAAAACAAGCGTCCTTGAATAGAACTGACGTAACAGGCCTTTACACGAGACGCACGAGCGCATCAACAATAGCTTGTTAGTGATGTTAACACCTTCAGCATCAACTTTTTGTCGTTCTTCGTCTTTAGATTTCAAAACATTTTGCGACGCTTTTCAGAATTAAGGTAACGACGTGGGCATCGTACAGCCTGCTTTCGAACGTGAACTCGAAGGCAGGCCAGAATTGTGAAGAATTGAAAGTCAGCTAAAGGCTCCGTGCACCTAAATACGTCAGCTCATTATTTGTTCCCCTTTAGTGTCGCTAACAAAAAGCAGCAGCTTTAGCCACCACTGGCTGTTATCCGTCGCCATTGACCGGGTTCTGGCCATAGTATCGAGCGTTGTGAGACCGCATGTCTGTTCGGTATTGATGTGTGTCACCCTCTCAGAGTCCTTCACCTGGCCGAGTTCCTATGGCTGCTGCTCAGAGCGGCTGAGAAGGCGCATCGAGCGCCATACAGCGCCGCTCTGCACTGCCCGCCCACGGTGGGACCGCAGCCACGCCGCGCGGCACGTTCATTCAGCTTGATTGGCCGTAAATGAAAGGCATTGTTAGCGCCGTTATATGCAAGGTTCGGCCGCGTGACACCGCACACACCTGGCCACATGTTGGCCGGTAATCAGACGGCTTCAGTACACCTATCGAGCGCATGTAAACATATTTACCCATCACAGGCGATAACGGATTAGAACCGCGGGTGTGACGGGATGGACAGTATTCAACCTTCAGTCGCTTGTGATACAGATGAGGTGCTCACCGCAAAGCCCTCCATCGAATGGCTCATTCATCGATACGGTTGACACGATGGCTGCTTTGGATGTCTTTGGCTTGCGAGGAAAGCGTATGCTCGAACTACCGAACATATTTTAGTGAATTTATAAATGTTTTGCATATAATTGTAGACAGGTTCACGAGTTATCGCAACATCCAATTGTCTTTGCCTCGATACGGGCTTTGCTCTACAGTAGTAGTTTTGCATTTTTCCTCACACAAAACGTGCGATTACTACATCATCAAAATATTTCGCAAGTAATTGTACAAAGCAAGGAATTTCATGGTGTTATTTCAGGTGATTTTGAAAACCGATTTCTTATTGTGTGCGATGCGATGCACTACACGCAAAATTGGCCCCAGTTTCCTAGAATTCCGGCAAGATGCCCATGAGCTGCTGTATCCATGCCTTGCTTTGGACCACTGATTAGATCGACAAAGGTCAGACAGCGTCGATGACAATAGAGTTACGCAAAGCGTTCGATAGCGTTGATCATGATACCCGGTCTCTAATAAGCCTATATGTCTGAGATGGCCGTACAGCCCCCGCCCACGACATCGTGTTCAGATCTGTCTCAGCGGCCGCGGGGGTGGATGCGGGTGGTCTCGGACCCGAAATCGATGTCCTTCAAGGATCAATGCTGGTTACAGTGTTCTTGGTCTAGCTAAATCAGACCCGCTCATCGCTGTTATTTTGATCGTGTGAGCTGCGTGGACAACACTTGTCGATATGTCAGCAATGGGCAATGGGCATCCGTCCCTTATTCTTCAAAGGAATAAACTGTGAAGCAGAAGATTCAATGTCTGTGGCCCAGTCGCGTTTGACTGAGGATTCAAAATGTAAGCATATAACTATGATTTATTTCATTTGGGACTTCGCCGACACCGCGAAAAGTTCCCCTTTCAAAATTGTTTCATCCGTTGGTTCAAAATATTGGTAATTTTGTTGTATAGGTGAAATGAATCCTAGGGCAATTTCTACCGAAATTCGAGTGTCTGCTTAGCGTTTTCTTGATCAACAGGATTTAGACGAAATTAACCGATCTTTTCAACGTTCAAAAAACGCACTTATCGAAACACTGCATGATTGCCTTCGCTGAGTATGGAATTCGCAAAAGTTGTCTCTGCCGTGGCCAGGAGTAATCGATATGGAGCGTCTAGTACCTATAGCAGGATCGATGCCACGTCTGCCGACAACTCATACTAATCCAAAATGGAAAAGTTGTACAAAAACGTGATTACCTGAAGTGATTCTCGATTGAGCTTTCATCGAAATGTGAACAATACATGTTCGCACAAGGGCTACATGTCCGGTAAATACACACAAACTAATCTACTAATCAAATACATAGGTACCGGTATTTCTAACTGCGCTAACTTCAACCATCTATTGACCACTCAGGGATCTTCCCGGCGCCAGTTTGAAACACAACTGTAGCATGCATTTGTCTGACTGTGTCAGCGTCATGTTTCCACAGAAAACCATGGATGGACGAAATGGAGGCCAACCTACAGAACGACCTCTACCTGAGCGAGCTGGTCAGCCGGCTGCGCGCGCTCAACGACGCCGAGGTGGCCGGACTCGCCCAGTACGAAATAGATAATTATTTCCGGAAGCACGTACCCTTCTTTCACCTGTACAGCCATGTGTCGGCGCCGCCGGCCGGCGCCCAGTCGGTCCTCGCCGGGTAGGTCTTCCTTCCCTCGCCCGCCTGCGCATCGGCGCGTCGCAGTCGACGTGGCTGCCTGTCGCCTGTCCGCGCATGCGCACGGCCCGTCATGGCCGGCCCGCAGTCTGGGAGAAGTGGCCGACTATCCAGAGCTTGGTTTGTATTTGTCTGAATAGGGTCCCATCTGAAATCCCTCTTACTAGATTCCGTATAATATTTCTTAAATACTTGGCACTGATCGAAGTTTCTTATTATCATTTATCCGTGTCCTTATCTTATCCGCATAGCTCCTCCTTCTTATCCACAAGATCCATGCTAAGATCTACTGCCTTAACCATATGATAAACACCTCCATTGGAGTCCCAGCCTTTTTCAACAGGTATGTCCTTGCACGGACTTTCATGCCATTGGGGGCCCAAATCATATGCGTATGTGATACCTAGACATGGCGATGTGCTACTCTATCGATGTGTGCGCTGTTGCAATCTGTTCCAGCTCGGGTACCGTATAGATGGAATGTCACCCCGCATGGTCAACATACAACTGGTTGATGTGATATAAGCGTTTGATGAAACTTGGTGCATTATTATCTTGATTAATCGTGTCTTATCTTGGTCATGTCGTGCTTATTTGTTGTTGCATTATACCTAAAGCGAAAAGAGTAAAGACAGACGCACCTTTGCCGAATACCCTAGAGACAATTGAAAGTTTTGACTTATGAGTCACATATAATCTTCTTGATCTTTTTCTTGCACTTCAGAGCTTCAACTCTTTTTGGCTGCTTTCATTTATCGTCGCGGATAAAAAAAAACGTTTCGTCGCATCAAGCAAACAAACCGTTAAGCCATAGCTTAACTCTTATTTCCTTTTCAGCAAGCGCGGTTTTGACTTCGGCCTGGGCCGCGGATTCTCGGCCTCCCAGGCCGCCAAGCACAAGATGGGTCTGGAGGCGGCTGAGTTCCCCAGCGGCCCCGGACGCAGGCGGCGCTCCCTGGAGCAAGACCTGAGGCACTAGATGATGCAACACTCCCTCCGCTCTCCCTCTCAGCAAACCCCCTCCCTCCCCCCTTCCGCTGGACGACGGCCGCGGTCAGCTCCGCGGCCTGTGCCGCTGCGTACGGCGCAGCCGAGTAGTTCCGCGGTCACTGATGCGTCTAGCAGGACCTACTGCAGCTCATTCTGAGCAGGATTTTGTGAAGAACACTCCTGGCTTTAGTAGAGAATATGCTAGATCGGCATAGAGCAATGTCGCAACGAGAGAGACAGCTGCTGGCGGGATAGCGAGTCCATGGACACACTAGAAGAGAGGCTGGAAATGAAGGCTGAATAAAATTCGGTTATCACTTTTTCCGAACATGTAAAAGTGATTTATTGAAATACTTACTTCAGCGAGAGCCATACGACTTGATTTTACTATCGTAGAATGAAGTGAACAACAGGAATCGCATGCAATTTTAGGGCGCCGGCTAAACGGTTTTTGTGTTGTTGCAGCTAAGTTGATTAGCCCGGTGAATGCCACTGCATCAAGTGTTATTGATGTGTTGTTAGTGTACCTGGTAGTACCCAATTGGCGTACTTACGAGATATACAAATTGTGCCACATTGCATGTACCTATATTTAATGTTCAGTTGCTGGGTACGAGGGGTCCACTGAAAAATGTGTACGAACAGCTTTGCTGGTCTCAATGCGAGCTTACCGTTTCAGAAACAACGACTACCAAAGACACTGAGCGGCAGCTGGCCTATTATATGTCTATTTTAAGGCCACATCCATGGTAAAACAAACCTTAGGGATGATGTTCGGCACTGATTTTGGACAGCACTGTCGACAGACAGGCAATGAAGTGTTTTGCGGGTTGTGATGGAACTACCCGCGTGATTCAACTGATCGGCTTCTCACTCTGGATATCGTAGACATGCTGTATACATGATTGCAGATTAGAGTACCCATATTGTGTTACTCCATTTATCACGAAATAAACATATTTTGTTGAAACTGTGTGTTTTCTGCCACAGCCAGAGGAGAAATGTGCATAGGCAACAGCAGAGATGTAAAATGTGGAATTGATGGAACAAGCCACACCAAAATTACTTTTATAGCTAAAAAAAATGCATAGGTATATCGTCATACGACTCTTAATTAAATCGCATATAATGCGAACTGTAAACATCGAGCAAGCGTTAAGCAGCTGTATATGATCTGCACTGGCAACGTCGATCTTTAAAATCGCCACTTGCCACCTCATTAACTTTGTCGTGGCTAAACCCGGCAGTTGCTGGGGTATTTCGCCACCCGCCATTTACTGATGGGGGGGGGGGGGGGCGTTAAACGCCCCCAGCCGACAGCTCGAGAACCAATAAGCGTGGCGAAACGCACGAGGCGGCAAACAAAAGAACACGACAAGACGCTTCAGCTAAGCACTTGAAAGTTGAATTTCGAGGTCAGGTCGGGTCAAGGTCAGGTAAAACACCTAAAATCGGGCTTTCGGTAGCAAGGACTTCAGGCCAGAACCTCGTAATGGGCGCCTCTCGTGATAAACTCTGTCAAAACTGTGTACAATCCTTCATAAAAGGCCTAAAGAGTGTCAGATCTATGTACGGGTCAGTCAAACATATGCCAGGGTCAAGGTCAGGTCAATCAGGTAAGCACATATCCCTGAAAATCGAAACTGGTATTTGCAGTCTATGGCACTGCAAATTGGTTGAAAAAAAAAATTGGTTGAAATTCAGAAATTATGACGTCATTAAAACCTCGATATCTAAAAAAAAAACTTCCGACCGATTTTTCCTTAAACTTCGTCACAATAAACTTCAATGAATTCCCTACAGGTACCCAAAACTAAGCGCCCCTTCGGCGCGCCGTTTTATGCTATATCGCGGCGAAAAAAGTGGGGGGAGGGCGTTTAACGCCCCCCAGCAACTACCGGGCTAAGCCGTCAAGGTTTTTTACCAATAGGTAAAAACTGGGAGACGCTTGGCACCGCCACATATCAGCGTAGCTTGAGGCGTACTGGCAGTGTGTCAATGAACTTGAACATCAACCTGCACACCACGCTGAACAATCATCGATAGAATGACACAAAAAAAATGGTTCCTATTGTTTACTGAAGTCAGCAGACACTTGTGTCATGTATGGATGGATTTCCAGCGAGTTCATGATTGACATATCTTCTATCGGTTGCACGACTTTCTAAGGAGTTCAAGAATGATGAGCATCTCACATCTCTAAAGCCAGCGCTGTCGTATAACATAAACTGACAACTCAAGCAAAATTTCAACAACTGCTTATCGTCTAAACTATTCTGTGTTTTCATTTGAAACTGCAAGCTGTTACCGTCAATCACCAACAGCAAAATTAAAAACAACAGTGCATCATATGAAACACTTTAAAACAGGCTGCACCCAGCGTTACTATTTGAAGCATAAATGCCCCATTAACTAAGCGACTCAAGAGTCGCGTGAGTCCCACCTCGCTGGGTCCTGGAACCGCCTGGCTGGACTGATCAATTATTTCCAACAGCCAGAAGGAGCTATCACACCGCACGTGATAGGACTCATGTGATATAGACGCGTCATGACCGAACATAAATCGTTACAGATAGCCAGAATGGCCAGTCATTTGTCGTTGGCCTAGCAGTGGAGACGGGAAGGGGCTCAAGTTACCTGGGCGTGTATGTGCCATTTGTGTGATTAAAACCGGCATAAAATGTCGGCTAGATTATCACACGTCAGATACCGCTAAATAAAAACAGTTGCTTGTGCTCCCACACTTCCAAAATTCCCACCACATGGACTCGACGAGGTTCGGAATGAGTAACTTATTCGATGAAAAGAAGATTATAGGTACGGTGGAAGGAAGAAAATATCGAAATTGTTATATAATACAACTTGTTTTGAACTTCATTCCGATCAGAAATATTGGGCACGCAAGAGTATCAAAATGCGCGGCAGTAAAAGTTGAATGTTACTGGTGTTTGCCATGAACCCGCTGTATTCCAATGGGTTCAATCATTCTTTATTCTTTATTCTTTTTGTTTATTAGCATAAAAGCAACCACAGGCTCATGGCTCACTTATGGGCAGAGGCGGATCCAGCTCAGAGTTTTTCTTTGGGGGGGGGGGGGGGCAAACCATAACAATTTATCGATTCTTTCCATGCCTCGTCCATAGGCGTAATGTTAAAATTATGCCGTTTGGGGAGGCAAATGCCCATTTTGCCCCCCCCCCCCTGGATCCACCACTGCTTATGGGTGCAGTCACAGAACAAATGTATAAAATTGGACACACGCAATCACACGCACACACACACATACCTACACATAACAGATATATAAAAGCAACACATAAACGATGACAAAAAAACATGGATGACTACCCTAGGTAAAAACTAAGTAAAATAACACCGCTAAAATAACACCGCTAAAATAACACCGCTGCCTTCCACTGCCATCAGAATGCACCCTGACCCTTAGCAAATTTAAAAACCTGAGATCTAAAAGCAGATGTTGAGTAAAAGAAATCAGCCGACGGTGCGTCCTGAAGGAGCATGTTGCATGTGGCCGGAAGTCGTGATAAAAAACTTGCGCACAGAGTTAACTCTTCCGCCCGGCACATGGAACAAGGCAGTGTGCTGGTTTCGCCGGCAAGGGACAGCCATTTTTTATGAGCAACATTTAGTATCATGTGCAAAATCATCTATCCTTCACGCTGAATTTGAAAGTGGTAGGAACGGGCATGGGATACTACAAAGTGCTTAGTTGCAATGTGTGTTTTTGGTGGAAACTAACTAACCGTGCCTACCTGAATGGCAGTCCACTTGGTGTAAATTATTCAAATAGCAATCTGTGTTCCCTGGAATGTGAGAACCTGATGGATCTCTTTAGATAACGATCGTTAGACTCACTATCAGGGAAAGATTGATTGTGTCTATAAATGACACGCGTTCTGACATTTACTTTCACTGTATTACATGATATCGATTATTGATATGTCAGTTGAATTATGCAGACAACGATGCACAGCTACAGTATTCACCAATGTCATGTATGTCTGTTTTATGTCCCATGGTAACTGATATAATAAAGGATATGTGTTATGCGTCATAAGGACAGATTTGTTGTTCGCGCACAGTTATGGATAATCAAAACCTCGCATTTCGATTCCATTTAAAAACAGATATGCTGGAAAATCTACAAGTTAGTGATCAACAAACTGCATTTAACGTCTTTCTTTGGTTCCTCATCCCCTCTCAAAGCATATCGTCAAGCATAACACCTTGTTTTATGTCTGCCAGTGTTGATTGTGAGGTCGCACTATGATGAGTCGATCTTCCCATCAACATCGCTCAAGTTCCTCGTACCTACTAAAAGACAGCAAACGAGTCGTCAGCCGACGTCCCGGGCCCATCTCACGGGCTGACCGTATGGAGGGCCCGTATCTGGCTCGTGTTATCACGAGTCAGAGAATTGACGTTACACACCAGCGGGAGGTGCCGCCTATGTTGTTGATAGTTTGGAGGATCGAGGCGACCCGTGGTGCCCGAATGCTCACTGTCGACAACCCTCCTTTGACTGCTTGAGAGGTGAGGGGAGCCCTCTCTGATGTGATCCATCGGTTCGGTGTTTAGATAAGGCTTAGCTCATAGCTGTAGCCTGCCGCAAGCTGCCACCTGGTGATGGTAGTGGAAGTCAACCAAGAAAGTTTCGTGTAGATGGCGCATCACGCGATGTGGCTGGATGGAGTCACCGGTCTCTGATGACCTGGCGCTAGCCTGAGAGCACGGGAGGATCGCACAAGACCCTGAGAAGACGTTGTTTTGGCGCTCAGTGAGACAGTGGGAGGTGTGTGTGGGATGGGAGCCGGAGGGCAAGGATGCAACGATAAACAATCTTTTCTGAAAAGAGAGCTCAGCATTTGAAAAGCTAGAGGCCCTAAAACACATTTAAATCACCACCCAAGCTACCATCTAACAGGCAGCCCCCGTGAAACAGTCCGCATATTCTCCACCAACATAGTGAGTGAATCTACCGGCCGAGGCGCCCGGGGCTATGTGACGTCATCGGGTGAGTGATGTCTCCGGCGAGGCGCCCCGCCGAGAAGAAAGGCTGTCTGGTGCCGGAGTTTGTCGCTGGCAACGGCAACAACTCTCGGGCCTGTTCCATTGGCTCCTCTAACCTCCTCAAAACTCCTCAAAGCTCATGAAATCGTTCCAGTGGCTCCTCCAACCTCCTCAAAGCTCCTCTGAAACTCGTCTCAAACCTCCTCTAACCTGCTCCGAAATGAAGGGTGGTTTTTCTGAGGAGGCTATGGCCGACACAAATGGCGCGGCAAATACAAAACAGGTGCACCGTGCTGCCTAGTTATCGATGTGCGCAATTATCGGATGAAATTAGGCAAGTTATCCGATATTCGAACGAATTTTATTACGAATTTTATTTTTGGTCTACTATGTCAGACGTGAGCTTGCGTGAAATGCGCCAGGATTGCAAGCATTTTCTTTCCACAAACAGCTGATACCTCCTCCGAACTGCGTTCCAGTGGTCACCAAAATCGGGACGAAATACGGCCTCCTCCAACCTCCTCAAAGCTCCTCTCATCTTTTTTCTGAGGAGCCAAAGGAACAGACCCAATTCTCTGTGAGATCGACGTCTCTGACTGGCCAGAATCGGGTGCTTAGTTTTATAGGAATATCTGGAGCTGTAGAAACCGGATTCAGGTAAGTTATTTTGTGCAATAAGGAGCGGGTGAGGAGTCACCTGCCATATATAGGTACACCGTTGCATTTAGTGCGTTCTAATTCACTTGAAATGTCGAGAAACATAAACTAAAAGCACATCTTTCCAATTAATTTATTGTACACTCTTATTAAAATAATGAAATGAGCCCTGGCTACCAGGACACAACACTTCGTCACGCCAGCTTACATCACAAGCCCGTCGGGATCAGAGCTCGTAGTTTCACGTTTCACTGGCTGTTGCCGTGCTGTGGGCACACTGTT